ATACTAAGTAGTTCCAGCGTTGACCGCTCGATAGCGCCGCTTACCCGCGCTAGAAAAAATCAGTCCGGGAACTTTCCGGACAAACTGTGTATATACCTAATCTTAGCAGAAAGACATTTCTTTTGTCTGTAATATTATTCTTTACTTAAGAAATAAAATAATAATATTTATTTTTTATTTCAGAAACAGTATTATTGGTTTTAAAGTCTATTTACTCAACGAAGATATGAATCGTTTAGAACAAGCTAGACGTAATTTTAAAAGGTAAAGTATTAAATAAAACTAGACTTTTGCTGTACGCAACTGTTTTTTTGATTAATTTTGAGTTTGTGTTTGTCTTATGGTAATATTTTTTATTTAAAGTTTTTAAACAAAATATTGCATGTAGATTCAGATAAAATATTGCACTCTATGACAGAAACGTTCCACATGACCGTTTACGTTTGGTAGATTATAACGTTCATAAAAAAGTAAAGCTTAATTGTAACATTTAGGAAACGTTACTGACAACATTTTTTCTAGCTATGTCGCCAGGCAAACAGTGTTTAGATGTTGATTTTAGTTTTACACAGAAATCTCAAATTTCTGTCAATCTTTTTGGCAGATCACAACAAATTTAAAAATAATACAATTTGTAGTAAAGTAAAAAACAACAGGATGGTCTAGCATTGTTTTAAGGCGATTCTATAATTGATATGCTTCGCGCGTATCTAGTGCTCACATTACTAACGAATTTTAACGCCTTCATCTAGTAGGTTCATGCGGTGAAACGCTTGCAATTGCGGCGACGTCTACTATCGCTTTTTTCTTCCAGTGACATATTTGTCCACAAATACGTCGCAATATATATATACATATATATATATAATCCAAATAAGTATAAATATTGGAAATATCAAGAAATGACAAAATTTACTTTGCGTAACGCAAATGAAATCAAAAGAACATCTCAAGCTATATAAATCGACGTATAAAACACTATTTTTTAGTCATTAATTTTTTCGAGTTTGTTTTGCAAACTGCATGCTAAATAATAAAACTTTAAATATTTTAAGAGATGCAAACAAAATAATAATTTATTATTGATGTTTCAGGATGGAGTGGCTCGACAAAATAATCAAAATATTGTTTGTAATTATGTTATGGTATATTTTCTACGCACGTAAATAAACGCAAAATATTTTATCAAATATGAGAGAATAGTAAGTATTTTACATTTATATTTTTATGATCAATTGATAAAATGTAACTTTAAAGTTATAGGCAGCTTTTAATAATTGCAGAAGGTTAAAATTATGTAACTAGTATTTTCTAAAAAGTCTAAGAATTATATACTTAAGAATTATGTTTGATTACGAAAAAAACAGATATTTGTTTGAAAATGTCAATAAAAATAAAATTTATCAAAGTTATGCTACAAAAACTGGAAATTAAATTGTGATAGTTAAAACTTCACAAACTATGCACAGCAATATACAAGCCATCGTAATAGAAATATTTTTAAAATACTGTGTAACATCATTTATTTTTTTATAAAAAATTGACGTCACTTCATAAATTTAACAAATTCGGAAAAACTTTATTTTATGATTCACAGACAAACGCGATTTATACGTCTTTCTCAAAACGTCGAAACTGATAGCTACAATATTAGGTCGGTATCTATTTTTTATAGGGATTTCAGATAGTCTGCACCGACTGCACATTTTGGGTGTCGCACAGTGGGCCAGAAGAACCAAATAAGTGGCCAAAATTTAATTAGGTATTTTCAAAAACAACTTTTTTTATGGATATGGAAATGGATACATGATGATGTTGAGAATATTTTATGTACCAAAAGTAAACAGTTTTCAAAAAGTCAAGCAATATTCGCAAATGATCTATACTGATATGTGTCGTGCGATAAAATATAAAATTTAGGGAGTAATTCTTTGAAGTAACTCAAAAGTTTTACATCAAATCAAATGACAACTGAGAGTCGTTTATCGAATACACTGAACTCAATAGACACAAAATATAACTGCTACATAACATAGGAGTAACGTATAATGTAACAGTTGTTATATCTGATTTACATTGGGATTATATCATTTTCTCTTATTTATCTGATATAACTCTGTAATAAAATAATTCTATAGTTTGTGTGTGTGTGTGTGTGTGTGGTACTGGCAATAACAAGATAACAATAATATATATGTAATGTAATATTATATGACAAATTTTATATCTGCGTTACTGTAATGTGACAATTTATATATCTATATGATTGAGTGATTTATAGGTGGATGGAATTAGAAGATTTTATATAAAAAAAAATATGTATGGTTGTGGAAATATATATTGATAAAGAAAGGATATGATACTTTTAGCATAAACTAGTATAGAAAGTGAAGTGAAAAAGAACAGTCTTGTGATGTATATTTTATGAACATGTTATCGTCAAAAGCACGGGCGTTCCTAGAATTGTTTGGTCAATGTGGAACCAAGCGTTCTGGTCAAAGCCCAACTGGACATTTGAGACGTATAAAATATTTTGTTTGTATCATATATTATCGTACACGTGTAGGCGGGCATTTTCTCCCTGTGAAAACTAACTAATCTATTCTATATAATGTCACTGCGATAGTAGTGTACAGTAAAAAGTATGCTAAAAAAAAACTATTTTAAACTTTGACCAAAATGCTTGGTTGTTTCGCGCATTGACCAGTCAATCCTAGGAACACCCGTGCTTCGAGTTTTGTGCTTCATTTTGTTAATAGCTATATTATTATTTTATAACAAATAAAAAAATAATTATATAACAATTTCATTAATAATTAATTAATTTATATTGCAGTTATATACTATTTTAGTAATCTATATAATTGTTAACGTTATATTACTTGTTACTTTCCGCTTTATTATGACAATGTTACGTTTATGTATCTGTGTTTGCTGGGAATATTATACATAAATATTATACTTTATGTAAATGTATACATATATGCAACACCTTCGCGCCTGGAGACGTATATATGTGTCATCCGTACCAAACGTTATATGCCAAGAGTCGCATATGTGCGTTATTTAAATTGTTTACAAAAATAAATAAAGAAACCGCTATAAATAGTTAAATTTCTTTTCGGAGATGTCATAAGACAAGAGATTCTAACTGTTTCACGAGTTGAAATAATTAAATTATCTTAGTTTATGTCGTAATTATTGTCACTGGACCTGTGTTTTTCTTAGAGCAATAAGATCCAAGTGTTTTTTAAAAATAAAAAAATTGAGAATTACTGTACCACGTACATTCGTACATAGTGGCTCGTATCGACTTTAATATTTTGTTGTAAGTTTTCACGAGATTTTAAATTGTCGAAACTTAATAAATATTGCACATTTTGCAAAATAATAAATAAAAAATAAACTTTTTGATTACGATTGATAATCTATTGTGTGTGAGAATCGTATACCTATTCATCTGAGTTCGCATAATGGTCTTATCAAACTTTTTTAAACACCTTGTATATTCAGAAATGCGGTTAGTTTCAAAGTCCAACAAGAAAAGACCTTTGTACAAGCATAATAATAATGAAAAATATTTACTAAAAATGCAATATTTGTATGAAAAGTTTATTGTAACGATAAAAAAAAGCTCGCGATCGTAAAAATAAAAAAAATAATGATATATATTTATTTTATATACAGTATGTAAGTGATTAATATTGTATCTTGTATAATATCCTGTATGCTTACAACAATTCTCAATGTGTTATTTAAAAAATGTTAAATATTTTATTTAATACAACTGCGTCAAAATTTTCTAAGAAAGTCAAGTGTACATTATGAGAGTAAGCCAATGTGTTAACACATTGTTTTCGAGACGTGGTTTTTGCATACCGTCGTTTGATTGTAGGTCACATGCAAATACGAGTTGTATGTAGATACGAAATAGCATATCATATACATATAATTTACTCTGGTAAGGTATGTAATTCTTAGTTCGGCAACAGTATCGGATTCAAACTTCTTGCTCAAAACGTCCCATAGTGAAAATATTTAAGTTAATGATTTCGGGCTATGTGCACGTAATCGCGAGATTCGTGATCAAGTTTTTGCGTAATTCTTATTCAACTTCTTAATTTAATTTGTAACTGTACGTGGCAGTCAGGAATAAAATCGTTTACAAGTTATTAACGCGTAATTAACCTCTTAACCTACGATTTACGTTCCAACAGCCTGGGTTCAAAACGTAAACAAGATCGCGCAGCCTTCGTGCCATTCCACGGTTCGGCAAATCGGTCCTAAGTTGTACCAAACGCGCACGACTTACGGAATGTAAATACATGTGTAAGATACAACTGGTTTAATTTTGTGGAATATTTGATAAGTAATTACAACCTGATGTAATAATTGTGATAGATATACCACAAAAGGTTTATTATCAATCACTAAAATATAACATAAATCAAGAACATTTATGCAATTCCTGAATAAATTAGCAATTCATGTAATTAGCATTTATAAAAAAATCAATAACAAAAAATTAATCTTCAATAGTGTGATATTGTTCGAAACATACTGGTACATTTGGCCCGACCGATGTACCACGGACTAGGCCCGTGATAATCAGTTTTGGCCCGAATACAAGACCACGTGTCTTACACGTAGTTGTAGGTAGTTGTAGGTTGTAGGTAGGTTAGGGTAAAGGGTTAACAATAAAGTCGCTTACGTGTGTGCTATTTACGCGTAATTAACAACAATTTAACCATAGAAAATCTTTTTTTATAAAACATAAAATATAATTAAGAAACTGAAAATAGTACAAGATTATATCACGAGTCTCATATGATAAAATCAAATAAGATAAGAAGGTAATTATTAAATCATTTTTAAATGCGCGTTGCTTTTTAATTGTTACAACTTGTAGTTTATTAATCAAGAATATTTTGCACACATTCGATTTTCGATCGCATATAACCAACACAAACTGATTTCTCGGCAATCGGATAAAATCGTTAAAGTTGGTTTCTGTGAGGACCATTGCATATAAATCGCCATAGCCGTAACGTAGAACATACCGTAAGAATAAGCCATTCATATTACGAATTTTTGAATTATAGTGCCATTTTCGTCTATAACCGATTGTAATTGGTCAATTCTTACGACATGTCTTACGTTTATTATTACCGCGATTTATGTGTGAAAACCGGCGCACTACTGCATTTTCCATGGATCACAAAAACAATAAATTATATTGTAACTACTAAAATCACTACGCCGCGAAGAACATTGTCGAAGCGATCGGTACTATCAAAGGTGTTGCCGGCGCGAATAACGCGAACCACTACCGTGATTTTGATTCTCTCTTTTTTTTCTAACTTATACTTCCTGGTTTTCTTTCTTTTTCTTCTCTCAACGCGCTCGTATATGTATGCCATTTGGCAGCAGGCATACAAACATGTACACAATTTGGTCGCACGACGTATCTGAATCGTAAAAATCATAAATATTTTCAATTCGAAACTTTATCGTCGTATATCTCGTAAAATCGGAAACAAACAACAAAACCGCTACAATACTTTTCTTTTTAGTTTTTTAATGTGAATCGAACAAGATTAAAAAGAAGTTGATCGGTTCAGCCGTTAGTAAAATATGGCTGATTAAAGATCTCCCCTCCATTAAAATGCCTGATTTTTGCATATAAGAGGCACACTGTGCTCACGCAGTTTATTGCGCGTGAACTTGGCGCGAGACACTACCGTGCCTCTTGATAATGTTGTAATCGTAGATTGACACCAAACCCTTAAAAGATGTCAAAACCGTAAAACTTAATGACATCGTACGGTACTTCTTATAAGTGTGAAAGTTTGCTTAAAATTAGTCTTAAATTTGTCTATAATAATAACATGAACACATCTTAATAAAACACAAGCTTGAATGTTTTGTACTTTCTGATCTATTGCAATCCATTTTCCGAAATTTTTATATCACATCATGAAATCATCAAACATCATATATGGATGTAGTGTTGTTAAACACATTTATTATTCTAACACGTGTACTAAGAGATTATATATGAACTATTTATAATTATATAGATATGAGCACCGATTCACATCGATATAACGATTATTAAACTTCTATTTAACGTCCATAATTTTATGACGTCTATTGAATATGTTTAATGGAGATTTATTACATGTGATAAAAAAGGTAAAAACAATTGTGTTGCAGGTTTATCACGTATAATGATAACAATTAGATGTTCCCGTATTATAACATGAACTTGTATTTATATATACAAATACTATGATTTGAATATCTCTAACCGTAGAATCGCCTGCTTTTATATTTCGTTGTCAAATGTGAGATCAAAATCAGGGACTTATTACCGGTATGATTTCAATACCGGTATTATACTAGAGATTGTATACCGAATCCGATATAGTACCGAAATTGAGCGTTACCGTTACCGTTATAATACCGAAACCGATACATTACCGAAAACCGTAATAAAATACCGGTATTATTTCGGTATTCCTACTAATGGTATTTTTTAAAATTATATAGATAGGATAATTAAAGCAATTTTTGTTGCATAATTAATCTTTCTACCGCTTATTGGACTTATAGACCGACAAAATATAAAGACGCTTTTTTTATAACCCAATTGAAGCATTTTGGCAGAAACAAAAAAGTAATATTCCTGCATTATATTCTTTGTCTAAAATAGTTTTACCAGTCCCACCTACACAAGTTAGTGTTGAGAGACTGTTCTCATCATTGAAATATATATTATCATGCTTACGTTATAATCTATTCGATAATATTCTTGACGTTATTCTACTTCTCAGAACTAATAAAAATGAAAATTTTTAACAAATTTGGATATTGATAAATATGTCTATGTGTATTTTGTTACTGTTCTTAATTATATTAATTATTGTTACTGTTCTTAATTATATAAAAAAAATAAAATAATATAAATAATATTAAGTTTCTATGCGGCAGTTTTTTATAAATATTGTATTATCAAAAAGTGTTATCAACATAATGACAACACTTATAGTTTTAAGATATTACTTTTAAAAAATCACGAAAACATTATCGGTAAATATAGGTAAATATGAGTAAATATATCGGTATTATCGTATACCAGTATGACGTCAGAACCGGTATTTCTGCATTTCGGTTTGCATAAAGGTTTTCATAGTATTACCCAAAAATATCGGTAAAATACCAGTATTTTGCATATCGGTATAAGTCCCTGATTAAAATATCGAACGACAATACGTATAAAGTACTCTAATCATTTGACACATCATATTTATACAGTGATGGTATAAATAAAATTAATTAACACACACAAAAAGATTTTTTCCTATTTTTTTCACATCACAGACCGATATATGCGGCTTCAGTATTTGTATTATTATATCTATTATGAACAAAAAATTACAAATTATATATTTGGTTAATAATTACGTCATTAGAGTTTTTATAATAAAAGCTCAATATGAAATATATACTCGTAACCGATTCTACATAAATCTATACAATTAATATTGTAGCATAATGCAAAAATTGCTTTTAATTATATAATCATATTATGTATAAATATTATATACATACGTACATATATACATACACACACGAACAAAACATATACCTTCACTTTTAAGAAATATAATAGTTACAAAGTTAACAATGTGTGTACACACGCTGATATATTTTATTGTACTTTTATAGCAAGAATTGTAGATTTTTACTAGCTTATGATTACGAGCTGTGATATGTTTTGCAATGAATTTGTCAGTTTTTNTCACTTGTGACCTTAATGTCGACGTAATTACTTCACCGCAAAAAAACTGCTTTGCGAGTGTCTTGATATGTATTGCCTTGTAGCTAATGTCTGTTTATTACTGTAATTCCGTTGAGACAAGTTGCGCCATTTCTAGGATCACATGTTATTACAAATAATTTCGACATATTTGCCGATTATACATAAGAGTTGTCGGGACCGTAGACGAGATCGGTCGAAGACTTGACTATGTGAAGATAGAGTTTGTGTAATGTGCCAAGAGTAATGGATTTATGAGTATTCTTTGTAATGTGCCGAAAACAATAAATTTATATATATATATATAGTAATTATTAATTAAAGTGTAATAATAAGATGTGTTTAATTGAACGATACAATCAAGTAAATCGTTCAGTGATGTAGTTAACCTACGTGTTTGCAGTATGCGAGAGACGAGATGTGTCGGATCCGGCGGACGAGTCAACAGGTCGTATGTCGCATTTACTCCGTCACACTTTGGACTCTCATTCGTGTGTCTGTTTTTAGGCCAGAGATACGAATTTCAATACCCTAGGATAAGACCGTGCGAATTTCGTGAGAAGGAATGGAAACTGAGGTCAATAAATAAATATATATACAAACGATTGATTAATTAACATTTGTATTTTGATTATAGTGGCGTATATATAATGGATTAATTATATTTAATATAATTATTTATTTGATATACAAATGTGTGTGTGAATGTAGGTAATTCTATTTAAATATGTGTGACATCTTAAGTGTAATAAAAAACAATATATATGTATATGTGTGCATTTATACGTATATGTGTGTATATATAAAAAACATATACAGGGTGTCCCAGAATTGGTTTAACATCTCTCGTAGGCAGGTAGAAGGAATAAAACTGAGGTGAAAAGTCCTATACCATTTTGCTAGATTCGCAATAGTTACTGAGATTTTAATTAACAAAGATCCGCGAATAACCATGCATC